TGATCGGCCTACAGAGGACTGAATTCAAAGACACCCCGAAAATTAAAGTGAAGAAATGATGCAGCAGGCGAGTCCATTTGGCTGAAATGTCATTGCAGCAACTCAGAATGGTCCTCAGTAGTTTGTATGGCCCCCACGTGCTTGTATGCATGCCTGACAACGTCGGGGGAGGCTCCTAATGAGACCACGGATGGTGTCCTGGACAGTCTGAAGTGCACCTTGGCGGCGTCGGATGGACCAAAACATGATATCCCAAAGGTGTTCTATTGGATTTAGGTCAGGCGAGCGTGGGGGCCAGGAAATGCCTGCATACTCTCCCCATATGAGGTCGGGCATTGTCATGCACCAGGAGGAACCCAGGACCCACCGCACCAGGAGTAACCCAGGACCCACTGCACCAGTGTAGGGTCTGATAATGGGTCCAAGGATTTCATTCCGATACCTAATGGCAGTCAGGGTGCCATTGTCTAGCCTGTAGAGATCTGTGCGTCCCTCCATGGATATGCCTCCCCAGACCATCACTGACCCACCACCAAAACAGTCATGCTGAACCATGTTACAGGCAGCACAGAACGTTCTCCACGGCTTCTCCAGACCCTTTTACATCTGTCACATGTGCTCAGGGTGAACCTGCTCTCATCTGTGAAAAGTACAGGGCGCCAGTGGTGGACCTACCAATTCTGGTGTTCAATGGCAAATGCCAGTCGAGCCCTATGGTGCCGGGCAGTGAGCACAGGGCCCACTAGAGGACGTCGGGCCCTCAGGCCACCCTCATGAAGTCTGTTTCTGATTGTTTGGTCAGAGACATTCACACCAGTGGCTGGAGGTCATTTTGTAGGGCTCTGGCAAGGCTCATCCTGTTCCTCCTTGCACAAAGGAGCAGATACTGGTCCTGCTGATGGGTTAAGGACCTTCTACGACCCTGTCCAGCTCTCCTAGAGGAACCGCCTGTCTCCTGGAATCTCCTCCATGCTCTTGAGACTGTGCTGGCAGACACAGCAAACCTGGCAATGCCACGTATTGATGTGCCATCCTGGAGGAGTTGGACTGCCTGTGCCACCTCTGTAGGGTCCAGGTATGGCCTCATGCTACCAGTAGTGACCCTGACCCCGGCCAAATGCAAAATGAGTGAAAAACAGTCAAAAAAGATGAGTAGGGAAAAAAATGTCAGTGGCCTCCACCTGTAAAATCATTCCTGTTTTGGGGATCATCTCATTGCTGCCCATCTAGTGCACCTGTTGTTAATTTCATGAACACCAAAGCAGCTGAAACTGATGAACAACCTCCTCTGCTATTTACCTGACCAGATCCATATCCCAGGAGTTTCACTGACTTGATGCTAGACTCTGATTAAAAAGTCTTCCTTTAATTTTTTGGAATCAGTGTATTATGTTCCCCAGCCCGGTGTACTGACTTCTGCAGGTTATTGATGGGTTTGGAGCGGCCAGTCTGATGTCTCCGCTGGAGCGGGGATGTTTTCAGACCAATTACATAAAAACATTGATTACTTTGTACAAAAAGCAAATGGAAAGTCACTGCCTTGTATAACAGAGTGCAGCTGTTGCTTATCTACACACCGCCTGAACCCGCCATCCGAAAATCAATCGGAAGAAATTGGCTGAAGATGTTTTTCTCCAGATTGGTAGAGGAGGATTAATGGGTTTTGTAGAAGATAAACTAATCTGTGCTTTATTTAAATGTTGTTATTATTATTATTTATTATTATCATTATCCAATTATTATTATACAATTATTATTATACAATAATAATAATAATTATCCAGGATTTATTTAATGTCATCAATTTGCACAGAGCTTAGCAAAATAAAGAGAGAAGCAGAGTTACCATCCAATTCAATACAAGAGGGTCCTGCACCTGAGAACGTAAAATCTAAAGGGAAGGACAATTGATGTTATATATACAGTGGGGCAAAAAAGTATTTAGTCAGCCACCAATGGTACAAGTTCTCCCACTTACAAAGATGAGAGAGGCCTGTAATTGGCATCATAGGGAGACCTCAACTATGAGAGACAAAATGAGAAAACAAATCCAGACAATCACATTGGCTGATCTGGAAAGAATTTATTTGCAAATTATGGTGGAAAATAAGTATTTGGTGAATATGAAAAGTTCATGTCAATACTTTGTTATATATCCTTTGTTGGCAATGACAGAGGTCAGACGTTTCCTGGAAGTCTTCACAAGGTTGGCACACACTGTTGCTGGTATGTTGGCCCATCCTCCATGCAGATCTCCTCCTCCATGCAGATCTCCTCTAGAGCAGTAATGTTTTGGGGCTGTTGCTGGGCAACACGGACTTTCAACTCCCTCCAAAGGTTTTCTATGGGGTTGAGATCTGGAGACTGGCTAGGCCACTCCAGGACCTTGAAATGCTTCTTACGAAGCCACTCCTTTATTTCCCGGGCGGTATGTTTGGGATCATTGTCATGCTGGACCCAGCAAGTTTCATTATCAATGCCCTTGTTGATGGAAGGAGGTTTGCACTCAAAATCTCACGATACATGGCCTCATTCATTCTGTCCTGTACATGGATCAGTCGTCCTGGTCCCTTTGTGGAGAAACAGCTCCAAGCATGATGATGTTGCCACCCCCATGCTTCACAGTAGGTATGGTGTTCTTTGGATGCAACTCAGCATTCTTTCTCCTCCAAACACGACGAGTTGTGTTTCTACCAAACAGTTCTATTTTGGTTTCATCTGACCATATGACATTCTCCCATTCCTCTTCTGGATCATCCAAATGCTCTCTAGCAAACTTCAGACGGGCCCCGGACATGTACTGGCTTAAGCAGGGGGACACGTCTGGCACTGCAGGATCTGAGTCCCTGGCGGCGTAGTGTGTTACTGATGGTAGCCTTTGTTACGTTGGTCCCAGCTCTCTGCAGGTCATTCACTAGGTCCCCCCGTGTGGTCCTGGGATTTTTGCTCACCGTTCTTGTGATCATTTTGACCCCACGGGGTGAGATCTTGCGTGGAGCCCCAGATCGAGGGAGATTATCAGTGGCCTTGTATGTCTTCCATTTTCTAATTATTGCTCCCACAGTTGATTTGTTCACACCAAGCTGCTTGCCTATTGCAGATTCAGTCTTCCCAGCCTGGTGCAGGTCTACAATTTTGTTTCTGGTGTCCTTCGACAGGTCTTTGGTCTTCACCATAGTGGAGTTTGGAGTGTGACTGTTTGAGGTTGTGGACAGGTGTCTTTTATACTGATAACAAGTTCAAACAGGTGCCATTGATACAGGTAATGAGTGCAGGACAGAGGAGCCTCTTAAAGAAGAAGGTACAGGTCTGTGAGATCCAGAAATCTTGCTTCTTTGTAGGTGACCAAATACTTATTTTCCACCATAATTTGCAAATAAATTCTTTCTAGATCAGCCAATGTGATTGTCTGGATTTGTTTTCTCATTTTGTCTCTCATAGTTGAGGTCTCCCTATGATGCCAATTACAGGACCCTCTCATCTTTTTAAGTGGGAGAACTTGCACAATTGCTGGAGGACTAAATACTTTTTTACCCCACTATATATATATATATACAGTATATATATATATATAGATGGATAGATAGATATTATATAATATTATATAGATATATATTTAATAATTGTAGGGGGGATTTGATGGAGAAAGAAAAAGAAATGATTGAGTGGCGGTGAGATAGGCTTCCCTGAAGAGATGAGTTTTCAGGGATCACCTAAAGATGGGCAGAGTAAGAGATGGCTGGACAGATTAGGATAGGGAGTTCTTGAGGATAGGTGATGCTCTAAACAGATTGGGGAGTTTCAGAGGTCGGTAGAGGCTCTGGACAGATTGGGGTAGTGAGTTTTAGAAGGGAGGGGCTCTAGAGAGATTGAGGTAGGGAGTTCTAGAGGATGTGAGAGGCTCTGGCCAGTATGGGGTAGAGTTTCAGAGGATGGGACAGGGTCTGGAGAGATTGGATTTGGGGGCTCCAGAGAATGGGAGAGGCTCTGGAGAGATTGGGGTATGGAGTTTCAGAGGAAGGGAGAGTCTCTAGAGAGGCTGATGTAGGGATGGGAAAGGTGCCAGAGTTTCAAAGGATAGGAGAGGCTCTGGACAGATTGGGGTTTGGAATTCCAGAGGACAGGAGAGGCTCTGGATATATTGGAGTAGGGATTTCCAAAGGACATGAGAGTTTCTGAACAGATTAGGGTAGAGAGTTACAAAGAATGGGAGGGGCTCTGTACCAATTGGGGCAGACAGTTCATGAGTATGAGAGAGGCTCTGAGCAGATTGGGGTAGGCAGTTCTAGAGGATGGGCGAAGCTCTGGAGAGATTGAGTAGGGAGTTTCAGAAGAAGGGTGAGACTTTACAGAGCTTGAGGTAGGGAGCTCTATAGGATGGGAGAGGCTCTGGAGAGATTGAGGTAGTGGGTTCTGGAGGATGGGAGAGGTTCTGGCCAGATTGGGGTACAGAGTTTCAGAAGATGGGAGAGGCTCTGGAGAGATTGGGGTATGGAGTTTCAGAAGGAGAGAGAGTCTCTAGAGAGACTGGTGTAGGGAGTTCCAGAGGATGAGAGAGGCTCTGGATAGATTGGGGTTTGGAGTTCCAGAGGATAGGAGAGGCTCTGGACAGATTGGGGTAGGGAGTTCCAGAGGACAAGAGAGGTTCTGAACAGATTGGGGTACAGAGTTCCAAAGAATGGGAGGGCCTCTGGACCAATTGGGGTGGAGAGTTCAGGAGGATTGGAGAGGCTCTGGATAGATAGGGGTAGGGAGTTCAAGAGGATGAGAGAGGTTCTGGACAGATTGGGGTGGGTAGTTCCAGTGGACAGGGGAGGTTCTGGAGAAGTCCTAGAGCTGAGCATGGGAGGAGGTGATAAGGGAGATAGAGAGCAGGAGGTCTTGAGAGAAGCAGAGAGGACAGTTTGGATGATATTTTGAGATGAGGTTAGTGATGTAGCTTTGAGCAGAGTTGTGGATGGCTTTGTATGTTGTCTTTGGGTGATTGGAGGCAGTGGAGGGATTGGCAGAGAGGGGTGGAGGACACTGAGTGGGGGTCAGTGGAGGGATTGGCAGAGAGGGATGGAAGGCACTGAGTGGAGGTCAGTGGAGGGATTGGCAGAGAGGGATGAGGACACTGAGTGGAGGTCAGTGGAGGGATTGGCAGAGAGAGGTGAAGGACACTGAGTGGGGTTCAGTGGAGGGATTGGCAGAGAGGGCTGGAGGACACTGAGTGGGGGTCAGTGGAGGGATTGGCAGAGAGGGGTGGAGGACACTGAGTGGAGGTCAGTGGAGGGATTGGTAGAGAGGGATGGAGGACACTGAGTGGAGGCCAGTGGAGGGATTGGTAGAGAGGGATGGAGGACACTGAGTGGTGATGAGTCTGGCAGCAACATTCAGGATGAGCTGAAGGGGTATAGTCTGTGTAGAGGTTGGCCAGCGAGGAGGGAGTTGGAATAGTCAAGGTGAGAGATATCTACAGCAAGGCAACTAACTAGAGTTCCGACGAAGGTATTACATCCATCAGCAAAGAGCAGACCACTAGAGTTTGCCATCTTATTTTCTTGCTATTAATGATGGTCTCCACCATAACTGAAGTGTATGTCTCAAGGCAAAAGAAAAAAACATACTCCGTACATCTGTGCAATACATGAACATTTTGAAGCTGATCTCCAGGTCCAAGATGAGACCTTCCCGTCTCACTGCAGGAACAAAAACAAGTTGGGCTGATCTATGTTCAACCATTCAGAGAAGTGTTGCAATCTATGAATTAATACAAAGCTTCCTCTGATTGGCTGAGGCAGAGAATTGGGCTGATGACATCATGAACTCCAACTCATATTGGATCGTGCTTTGCTGGGTTTTTTGCCTTCCTCTAGATCAGTGGTTCTTAACCTTGTTGGAGGTACTGAACCCCACCAGTTTCATATGCGCATTCACCGAACCCTTCTTAATTGGAAAAATAAAATATGATTTTTAAAATTCAAAACATAGGTATATATTTAGGTATATATTTATATAGGTGCGCAAAATGAACAAAACCGTTAAGAACAAAGAACAAAACCATTAAAACATGATTTTCACACAAAAACAAAAACATAATAATGAATATTTACTGCACGAATCATATGAGTCGGGTGTGGGTCTTCACCTCTGCCGAACCCGCGAGACTGACTCACTGAACCCCTGGGGTTCGATCGAACCCAGGTTATAGTAAACCACTGTTTTATAGTAATTCATCCCCCATAGTAATTCATCCCCCCTATAGTAATTCATCCCCCCTATAGTAATTCATCCCCCATATAGTAATTCATCCCCCATAGTAATCCCCCATAGTAATTCATCCCCCATAGTAATTCATCCCCTATAGTAATTCATCCCCCTATAGTAATTCATCCCCCCTATAGTAATTCATCCCCCATATAGTAGTAATTCATCATCCCCATAGTAATTCATCCCCCCATAGTAATTCATCCCCCATATAGTAATTCATCCCCCATAGTAATTCATCCCCCATATAGTAATTCATCCCCCATATAGTAATTCATCCCCCATATAGTAATTCATCCCTGTCAGGGCAGGAGCCGAGGAACGGACAGGCAGGCCTAACAATGTAACGCACTGGCTGACGACAACCACCACCCACAGACCGAAGTCCCTCAGGGCACGGAGTCTAAGTCCCAGGCTGCCCTTCACCAGGGCCCCTGATGGTGGGGATGGACTTGACCAGCCAGGAACCAGGTCGCGGCCCCTGAGACACCTCAGCTGCGGTAATGGCCACCGCCAATGGCGTGTAGCTGGTGGAAGAGACAAAAGAGTAGTCAGACAGGCCAGGGTCAACAACAACAGGACAAAACAGTACAGGACAGCAGACGAGAATCACAGGTCACAAGCCGGGTTCAGCAACAGAGGGTCAGATCAAAGGAGAATACAAAGAATAGTCAAGTCACAAGCCGAATCAGATACCAGGAGAGTCACGAGAGTTAGAACAGAGTAATAGCAACACCAAGACACAAGACACAAGTGCAAAGAGCATGTGCGGGCCACAGGCTTATATGTCAGCAGCCACGCCCCTCTGGGGGGTGGACCTCAGAGACCTGAAGGCATAAAAGGATTCCCACCATGCACAGCAGAATCCAAGATGGACGCCAGCACATGGAGTAACATAACCTCAGGGAAAAGGTAGGACCTTGACAATCCCCCATAGTAATTCATCCCCCATATAGTAATTCATCCCCCATAGTAATTCATCCCCCATATAGTACATCCCCCATAGTAATTCATCCCCCATAGTAATTCATCCCCCATAGTAATTCATCCCCCATATAGTAATTCATCCCCCATATAGTAATACATCCCCCATAGTAATTCATCCCCCATAGTAATTCATCCCCCATATAGTAATTCATCCCCCATATAGTAATTCATCCCCCATAGTAATTCATCCCCCATATAGTAATTCATCCCCCCATAGTAATTCATCCCCCATATAGTAATTCATCCCCCATAGTAATTCATCCCCCATAGTAATTCATCCCCCATATAGTAATTGCATCCCCCATATAGTAATTCATCCCCCCATAGTAATACATCCCCCATAGTAATTCATCCCCCATAGTAATTCATCCCCCATATAGTAATTCATCCCCCATATAGTAATTCATCCCCCATATAGTAATTCATCCCCCATATAGTAATTAATCCCCCATAGTAATTCATCCCCCATATAGTAATTCATCCCCCATATAGTAATTCATCCCCCATATAGTAATTCATCCCCCATATAGTAATTCATCCCCCATAGTAATTCATCCCCATATAGTAATTCATCCCCCATAGTAATTCATCCCCCATATAGTAATTCATCCCCCATATAGTAATTCATCCCCCATATAGTAATTCATCCCCCAAAATAATTCATCCCCCATAGTAATTCATCCCCCATATAGTAGTAGTAAGTAAGTAGCAAGTAGTAAGCCAAGTCCCCCCTGTGTCAATTCACTTACCTTTGCTCCGCGCGTTCCTCTCGCGCCGTATTCCCGCGTCGTTCCGGTCTTCAGGGCGGACTGTGAGAGGAGCCTAGCTCCTGGCTATCAGGATGTGAGTGGCAGCGAGACTGGCCAATCATTGCATTTGAGCGCGCTGCCCTGGCTGTTTTTTTTTTTTGATCACGCTGCAGAGTCCCTGCCGCCCGAGAGGAGGGAGGGGAACGGGCTCCCGCCACACAAGAGCCGCATTAAAGCGTGTAAAGAGCCGCATGTGGCTCGCGAGCCGCGGCTTGCCGACCACTGGGCTAAGCGATGTTGCGTGACCACCTGCAGCCAATGATGGACAAGCGGGGCATGTCATCACGAATCATATGAGTCGGGTGTGGGTCTTCACCTCCGCCGAACCCGCGAGACTGACTCACCGAACCCCTGGGGTTCGATCGAACCCAGGTTAAGAACCACTGCTCTAGATCAACTGTGGGTGGAGGATTATAACTTTTTTTTTTTTTTTCTATGGTTGAACTGGATGGACTTTTGTCTTTTTTTCAGCCAGACTAACTATGGAACTATGTAATTCAGCCAATCAGAGGAAGCTTTGTACTCATTGATGAAAATACAAGGCTTCCTGTGAATGGCTGAGCAGCAGTTTTTGTGCCGGGAATTCCCCATCTCGCTTCCAAAACACCACTCTGTATACTGTAGGTAGCGGAGTAATTAGTTCATTTGGGCCAAGCCAAAACCTTACATCAGGGGTCTTCAAACTAAGGCCCTCCAGCTGTTGAGGAACTGCAAGACCCATGAGACATTGCAAGACACTGACAGCCAGAAGCATGCTTTCAAAGGCAGAGGCATGGTTAGACCCATAGTTCCTCAACTATGCCAGAAATCCAGTGAGCTCCTAATTTCCTAAAGAGATAAGATTGGGTTTGCCCAATCAATTCAATCAATTGGGATTGACTCATGCTTGTCCGAACCCGTAAAGAAGCTGTTAGCACTAGTCCAACCAACTGCTGGTAGGGCATTTGACCTAATATACCCACAAATTAGGTCAATGTAATTGAGATGTGCCATATTGCAGTGTGGCTATATTAGGTGAAAGATGTAGCATCCTTATGTAGATGGGAGGGAGGCCAGGTGGAAGTCACCCAAGAGGGAAAGAATGACACATGGAGGTCCCATTTTAAAGGAAGTATATTGACCAGAACGTTCCAACCACTCTGTGACAACATTTATGCAGGGGCTTCAATTGTCAGAAACATCTTGCAGTACTTGTGAAGAGCGAATCTTGAGAACCTACAGCACCTGGCATAGGGCGCGCCTGCAGGCAGTATGCAACAAGACACTAGAAGCAGAAAGGTTCCTCACAGTATTCTCAAACAGTCCCTATACTGTCCCTCCTCCTCTGGAGCCTTTTCCTACGCTAGGCACACTCTCCCTTATCCTACAGGTTCCCATCCCTAACTTAACCCTGTGCAAAATGCACGCCACCTGCAGTGAGCCAGGGCTTTTTATGAGCACCACCCTCACTAAAGAAGGCCACAGAGGTCATCCAGGACAGCAGCATCCCACTGGACAGCTGCTCACCCGATGACACATACGGAGGCCTGAGAGGAACTCTTAAATGGACTCTGATGGGGACCCTTAAGTAAGGGACCCCAATCCAAAGGGACGCATTTATTTACAAAACTGATTTTTTTTTTTCAGCCCAATAATATTTAGAGACCCCTGTTTCAAATTAAAGTGGACTTGGATGAGTGCTGATATAACAGTCAGTGGTTTGGCATTCTGGGACACAAATGATAAAGGAGTCAGACAAGACCTCCTGACATCGTAAAGTCAACATGGATCTTCCAATTAATGTCCATCAAGTCTGATCTTGGTACACTGTGAAATTTCCCATCAATCATTTCATGCAAGGGGGGGGGGGGGGGGGGAGTGTCGGCACCAAGCTAGATAGGACATTTCCTTGTCACAGATCCTAAGATTTATGTTGAATAAATTGCCAATCATATTACAAGTACAAATCGCAGTAAAAACTTTGCTTGGTCTAGAGTGATATTTGTGTAACAATTCCTTATAACGTCAAGCTAGAAAAAACAATATATGTAGCGCACCCCCAAAGAAGCCACTAATAGTGGATTACTTCCCCCGAATTTAGTGCAAACCCAGCCAGGCACACAGTATTTACTCCTTCTCTCGAGTTCAATACGGGATCATTTACACTTGCTTCGACTAACACGCATTAAAGTGCCTACCACTTCAGCATGCTTTTTTGATGTGTTTTTGATGCTTTGGCAATGTTTCGGTGATCATTCAGTGATGCTTTTTTGAAGCTTTAATGAAGAATGGTAAATGCCCTGTGTATGTTAACTGTTTGTTTTAAAGGGACCCAGTA